CCCAGGCGCCCTTATCCACAGGGTCTTAAAAAATTCAATCATGTCACATTATTGTGAGATTAACTAAATGAGTGGGCCAACCTATACCACTAACTGGGTCAAGAGTCTAGGAATCTGGAATATGATAGCTATTGCTTTATATCCAAATTCGTGTTGTATAGGGTATGTTCTTATGAGATTTTACCCTACTTCATTTGTCTTTAAGCATAGGGTAAAAAGCAAGCTCTCCAGTTTTGCACAGATATCCTAATGAGGAAAGGGAAGAAATTCTGTATTCTCTAACATTAGGACCTCACGGTACAACATAATTAATCCTCATGGAGATTTTCCAGGTTTAAATGTGCTGGACTTTTGAAGCTTGCTTTAGGTTTATAAGCCACAGAGTTGTGATAATTGAAACTTTTCGCCAGAAAAAAGGAGAGCTAGCAGTGTCTTTTTCAGGGCTTACCCTATATGGTCCTATTTACAGCTGCTCCCATTAAAAAAAAAAAAAAAAAAAGCAAGGAAGAGAGGGAAATGGAAGAGTGGCAGAGAAGAAATGAATCCTACTGTCTCTATGTAGTAGACTGTTACCTGCTCTTCCCAGACCTTCTTCTCCCAGGACCCTGGGATCATGACCTGAGCCGAAGGCAGACGCTTAACAACTGAGCCACCCAGGCACCCCCCACACCTTCTTCTTAACGCCCAAATCTTCCTCGAGATGCTTTCCCTGTATTTGCAGCACTGGTGGGCTGTGTCCCCTTAAGAGAGTTCCAAGCTGTTTATGTAGCAGCGTGTCATGTGACAGCCCAGTTGCCATGGCAAATATTTGTGTTTCATGAAAAATGTGGGTAAAAAAAAAAATCAGTGTAAATGGCCAAATCCCTAGACAGACAGGCCTTCGGGCTAGTGTTTGGCCTGCACCACGATTGTTTCAAATTCAGCTGTTTAACAGGCTGTGCGAAGGCCACGGGCTAATGTGCATAATGGGAACAGGCGGGGGCACCTGTTTTGCTTCTCACCACGTTTGAGCTCTGCAGTCCCACAGTGTTATAGACAGCAGATCTACAGGTAATACAAACATGACTAGGTTTTCTGCGCTAATCAATCTATCACAGAAAAAAAATTATTTTAATAAAGACACTTCTGGAGGGCTAATTAACCCTGCCTTTAATTTCCTCTCTGTTGACTTCACAAAGCTTTCCCCTAGTGCTGAGGCAGTAATATTTAAAGACTCTTTCCTATGGTCTCGAACTGGTACATTTCTGAATTGACTCTTCAGTGGTAAATGTAATTATTCATACACTCTGTGAAGTGTCCTAGCGTGGAAGTGAAAAGGCTCACAGAAACACTGACAGAGCTAGAACAGACCTGGATCAGCATCCACCGGGCGGTGTGGTGCCACACGGAGAAGCCCCTTCTTGGAAATACTTCTCTCAGTGTACCCTAGATGCAGGACTTGGCGTCTGACTATAGCTGTTTTGGTAAATATTTACTTTGTCAAACTCTCTCTTCAGATCAAACAGGGCTCTTGGCAAGCAAGGCAGCGTTGTCTGGGGTGGAAAAGGTCTTTCTAATTATTAGCTCCTGCCTGCATGGAAAGAAGGAACAGGCTGGCCCAGCGGGGGGACCTGGGGGAGGGAGGTGGGGGGGGAGGCTCTGTGCTTCTATTTGTTTTGTAAAATTGCCCATGAGAGTCATTTTGATTTAAACTGTGTCTCATTCTTCATTGTAGGGGAAACGCAAAAGGTCAAGAGGACATCATGATAGGAAGGTCTGTAATTTGTGTGACTAGTTGAAATTTGGGGTTTGTCACCTGATGTCCCTTCCTTTTGCTTCAGGGCAAAAGTATGAGAGGCCAGTTGACAGCTGGAGACTGCAACAAAAGTTCTGCTCTTCTTTTATAAAAGAAATTAGATCATGTCTTCAGAAAAAAAAAAAAAATGGTTCGCTTAAAGTGAAAAACCTTCCCTACCCCCCTTCAGTTAGGACTGAATTACTTCTCAGGCTTCAATCCAGAGAAGTGATTTAGCATACTCAAAATCTGGCTGAATCACAATGGTCTTCAACCTCAATCTACGATTCTCATCTTTTAAAAGTCCACTTGAAAATAAATAAAATGTGAAAAAAAATTCACTTAGCCCCCAGCATGGGCATACGTGTGTGTACGTGTGCATTCATACACACGTGCACATGCATACACACTGCATATATGAGGTCATTGGTAAGGGGATGGGACTTAGGACTAAGCTGCCTAAAACCAATAAGGTAACAAACACATTGGGGGAATGAAATCGTTCCCACCGACAAGTACGTGCCAGCAAAGAACCTTCCACTGGGTCATGCGTGAGTCAGCAAAGTTCTGAACTTGAAGCAGGAAAGAGCTGGATTCTTCTCTTACTAATAGAGGAGTTTTGAGCAAGTCACTTAAATTCTGAGTGCCTCACTTTTCCTCATCTGTCAAATGGGGATAATAACTCTCATAGATTTGTTCTATTAGCTCTGTTAATGTGTGTGGAAATGCTTTGGAATTATAAAGCACTTGTTATCAGAATTCACTGGCCTGTTTTTTTTAAAGATTTTATTTACTTATTTGACAGAGACACAGTGAAAGAGGGAACACAAGCAGGGGGAGTGGGGGAGGGAGAAGCAGGCTCCCCGCGGAGCAGGGAGCCCGATGCGGGACTCGATCCCAGGACCCTGGGATCATGACCTGAGCCGAAGGCAGGCGCTTAACGACTGAGCCACCCAGGTGACCCTCACTGGCCTATTTTTAAACAACATCTTCTAGGCCCCCCTTCCTTCAAGGGTCTTATCAGAAAGAATTTCAGAGGGAGCTTAGCCACCCCTCTTTCCAAGGAAAAAGAGCCCATCTTCTGGGTCTCCTTGTACTTCTGCAGAGCTGTGACTAGACAGAGCTGTACTTACAGCAATGATCGCACACAGTCCTTCTGAACTGAGACAGATTGCTCCTGGATAAACTAATCAATGCAATCAGAATCTTCCTTCAGCTTCCCTTGACTTCTTGCTACGGGGAAATTGTGAGCTTGCTTCTACACTTTAAAAATAGGATGTGCTTTAAGAACACTAGGCATGATGTATCAGGAATATTTAGAACAGCAAAAGTTGGTTGAGCATGTTCTTAGAACATGGCACTAGGCACCTTCCACACCCACTGAATGCTCACAGCAGCTCTAGAACCTCTGTACTGTCATTGTCCCCAGGCCCACATAGTTGGTGAAAGGGTGCGGAGGATCCAGATGACAGGATGAGGCTCCAGAGTCCACCCGCCTACACACAAGGTTATGAACTCTTCCACATGCGCTAGTTTTCCAAATGTTACCACTACTATGATGGTAACTACTACTAACTACCCCAACCACTACCACTACTACTCCTAACTAGCACCTTACACACATCTTACACACATGTGCCCGCCACTGTTCCTATGCTTTACATGGATTAGCTCACCTCGCTTTACATGGATTAGCTCACCTCATCTGACAGTATCTCTGAGCAGTAGGTACTATTATTATTCCCATTTTCCTGGAAGGAACCAATTACGGAGAAGTTAAGGTCATGCACCTAGTAAGAGACAGAGCCAGCATACAGAACTGGGCCATGTGGCCGCCAGAGCCCCAACGCATTAGAGAGTTTTTAAACTTTCAAGAGTTTTTGGTAGAAATCCTTCTAAAAGATCCCATATCTCTGCCTCCCTGATGTAATCTAACATTTTCTCTCCCCAGTATCACGTACGCAGAGAACCCATTTCTAGTCGTTTTTCATTTGTTTCCTTCACATTCAGGACAATGCTTGTCACGTCAGCTGTCATGTCTGCTTTCAGTGGCCCTGACTTTAAGAGACTGTTCTGTCTTCTAGCTCATTAACCAAATAACCAAGACTCAAGAAGTGGAAGGATAAAGTGGAGTCAGTCAGGCTCTGCACAAGGATCCAAGGAATATAAGATAATACACAGTGGTAGACTTCGTAGTTACTTCAAGAAATCTAAGGCCTGTATTTTCAGGGCTCTAATTTAGCTGGTTAAAGTTGCTAAAATTGTCTCTCTCAGCAAATACATCTTTTTATTATCTCAAGGCAGACATGTTAACAACTATGTTAAGATCCACTTAATTTGGGCACCTGGGTGGCTCAGTTGGTTAAGCAACTGCCTTCGGCTCAGGTCACGATCCTGGAGTCCCGGAATCGAGTCCTGCATCGGGCTCCCTGCTTAGTGGGGAGTCTGCTCCCTCGACCCTCCCGCCTCTCATATGCTCTCTCTCTCATTCTCTCTCTCTCAAATAAATAAATAAAATCTTTAAAAAAAAAAGATCCACTTAATTTCAATTAATATTTTGATAATAAGTATGTTAACATAATAATTTTAATAAATATGTTAACATATAATAGTATGATAATAAATATGATAACAACTATGGTAAGATCCACTTAATTTCAATTAATATTTTGATAATAAAAATCTCTTTTATGGGTAAAACAAGCAAACAAATGTATTTATTGGACGTAAGGGTCCAGGTTAAATTCATGAGTGTGTTCTGCTTCTGGAAATGGGGGAGGGAGAAGAAAGAGCTAAAAAGAATTAGAGGATTTCAATTCTACCTTATGTGTTGTTTTTTAAAATTTCAACACATATATAAATAATTTAAATATATCTAAATCTTATAAATAATTATAAATATATAAAATAAACTATATTTTTAAATGTAAAAGATTTAAATATATATTTTTGTCTCCTTTGCTTCAGAGAGATATATATACCATATATACATTATATATATTCTGTATTATCTAACGTTATCTAATTCATCCTCATGTAGATTCCTCCGGTTTAAACCACTGGGCTTTTGTAGCTTGCTTTCTTACATTTATGAGCCACGGACAGATATATATATAATATACATATACATATAAACGTGTAATATATATATAATACACGTAAAGCAAAGAAGACAAAAGATTAACATGCGCCCATGGCAGTTTTTTATATTATTCTTCTATAATTTTCTGTATTTTCAAAACTTTTTCAAATTTCAAAGAAGAAACAAAAGAAAATCCTATTTCAAAAGATATACCTCTTGCTGTAAAATCTTCTTTGCTATAGAAAGAACAGGTTTGGGTGATAACCTTTTAATGTCAATTTTGGGGTCTTGCTTTTCTTAGTCATTCTTACACTGTTACTTTCTTTAGTATTTCCCTAGCATATTACTCTTTATCCTTATGTTACAGAATCGTGATTATTTTATACAGTTGAGTCAGTTGAACTATTTTAATGAGGCAACATAAGTGACAGTGACACCACTGTGTCCAGTCTCATTTCCCCCCATCTGCAGACCAGCTCGATTTTTTACAAAACTTCCATGACCCCTCCAACGCTCACCCCAAGACCCCCAGGAAAAGGAAAAAAGGGGAAGTTCCCAGGAGGTGGGGCTCTAGACCCCTCAAACCCACAGCAGCTGTGTTAACTGTGCCCCTCTTTACCATCAGATTGTATTGTTTCTGAACAGTGTTCCAGGTTTGAAAATATATACACTTTGAAAACCACCAGGTGGTATCTAGCGGCAGTTTCAGCTTTCATGTGACCTATCTACCAAAGGGAATAAGCCCACTGCTTTACGTTTATTGAAGTGTGATTAACATTACATTAGTTTCAGGTCTACGATAGAATGATTCAACAATGCTATACGTTACTCGGTGCTCATCACAAGTGTACCCTTAATCCCCTTCACCCGTTTCACCCAACCCCCCCCACACACACACACACCTCCCCTCTGGCAACCACAAGTTTGTTCTCTGTATTTAAGAATCTGTTTTTTTGTTTGTCTCTTTTTTCTCTTTGTTCATTTGTTTTCTTTCTTAAATTCTACATACAAATGAAATCATATGGTACTGGTTTTTCTCTGACTGACTTACTTCACTTAGCATTATACCCTCTAGAGCAAGACCCCATTGTTGCAAATGGCAAGATCTCATTCTTTTTTTATGGTCCAGCAATATTCCATTCTGTATATATATATACCACATCTTTATCCATTCATCTGTGGGTGGACACTTGGGCTCCTTCCATTATCTTGACTATTATAAATAATGTTGCTATAGGCATTGGGGGGCATGTATCTTTTCAAGTTGTGGTTTTGGTTTTTTGGGGTAAATACCCAGTAGTGGAATTACTGGATAATGTGGTAAGTATATTTTTAAATTTTTTGAGGAAATTCCATACTGTTTACCACGGTGGCTGCACAGTCTGCATTCCCACCAGCAGTGCAAGAGGGTTCCTTTTTCTCCACATCCTCACCAACCATTGTTATTTCTTGTATTTTTAATTTTAGCCATTCTGACAGGTGTGAGGTGATATTTCATTGCAGCTCTTAGGTGCATTTCCCTGATGATTAGTGATGTTGAGCATTGTTTCATGTGTCTGTTGGCCATCTGTATGTCTTCTAGAAGAAAACATAGGCAGTAATTTCTTTGACACCAGCCATAGAAACATTTTTCTAGATATATGTCTCCTCTGGCAAGGGAAACAAAACCAAAATTAAACCATTGTGACTACACAAAAATAAAAAGCTTTTGCACAGCAAAGAAAACCATCAACAAAACAAAAAGGCAACCTATTGAAGGGAGAAGATATTTGTGAATGATCTATCCGATAGGGGGCTAGTATGCGAAATATATAAAGAACTTATGCAACTAACATCAAAAAACCAAATAATTCAATTAAAAAATGGGCAGAGGACATGCATAGACATTTTTCCAAAT